AATATATATATATGTGTAATATATATACATATACAGCTGAAATCAATTGAACTACTGGATCAAGACTCATTTCAAACCTCTCGTTTTCCAAACACAAGACTGCTCCCTCGCCTGAGAGACCTCAGTGACGGCCTTGTGATAAAGGCCAGTGAAGCCTTGTGATAAAGGCCAGTGAAGCCTTGTGATTAAGGCCAGTGAAGCCTTGTGATTAAGGCCAGTGAAGCCTTGTGATTAAGGCCAGTGAAGCCTTGTGATTAAGGCCAGTGAAGCCTTGTGATAAAGGCCAGTGAAGCCTTGTGATAAAGGCCAGTGACAGCCTTGTGGAAAAGGCCAGTGACAGCCTTGTAATAAAGGCGTATGCGAGACGGAACGCGGCCCAGTGGATACTGATGTTGTCAGGGCAACAGCACCACACACAGTCGACCCCACCCCCAATATGGACTTTGGATGCAGGCATTATTGACAACCCCAGCCGCCACCAAACATTCCATCATCAACGCCAACAGAGCGCGCTGCAGCATCTTGTACCCGTCCCAGAGACTCTGCAGCCGTCTACACGCACTATTGTCCACCCAGAACACCATCATGGCTTCCAAACGGGAGCCGCCCTCGCGCATCGCGTCGGCATCGTCCCTCCGCTCCGCGACTGGGAGCAGCAGCCTCACGAGGACCCGACAGGCGGCACGAACATCGATGCGACCCCCCCTGTCGTCCTCCCGCTTCAACCGCGACGGCGCCGTCTCGCCAGCCGAGTCCATGGCCTCCGTGGCCACGACGAGCACGAAACGCAAGGACCGCGAGTACGACACCGAGACGGGCGGCCTCGATCACGGCGAGGAGACCAACATCCAGGTCGTCGTGCGGTGTCGCGGTCGCAACGAGCGCGAGGTCAGGGAGAACAGCACCGTCGTCGTGTCAGCCGACGCCGCCAAGGGCAAGGACGTCAACCTGTCCATGGACCGAACGCCCTGAGCAACAAGACGTACAACTTTGACCGCGCCTTTTCACCCGCCGCCGACCAGAGCATGGTCTTTGACGATGTTGTCAGGCCCATTCTCGACGAGGTGCGTCTTCTTCCTCGTCGTTCTTCTCCCCCGCAGACTGCGCCGCGAGACCCCGTGCTGACACGTCCCCGCAGATGCTCGCCGGCTTCAACTGCACCATCTTCGCCTACGGCCAGACCGGCACCGGCAAGACCTACACCATGTCCGGCGACATGACCGAAACCATGGGCCTCCTCTCTGATGCTGCCGGTATCATTCCGAGAGCGCTGCAGGCGCTCTTCAACAAGCTCGAAGCCGACGACTGCGAGAGCGCCGTCAAGTGCTCCTTCATCGAGCTGTACAACGAAGAGCTGCGCGACCTGATTGCCGTGGAAGAGGGCGCCAAGCTGAAGATCTTTGACGACACGTCACGAAAGGGCCACGCGACGACCATTGTGCAGGGCATGGAGGAGAAGCACATCAAGACGGCCGGCGAGGGCATCAAGGTCCTCCAGGACGGGAGCTTGAAGCGCCAGGTCGCCGCCACCAAGTGCAACGACCTCAGCAGCCGCAGCCACACCGTCTTCACCGTCACGGCCTACGTCAAGCGCAAGAACGAGGACGGCGGCGAGGACTACGTCAGCGCCGGCAAGCTGAACCTCGTCGACCTGGCGGGCAGCGAGAACATCCAGCGGTCCGGCGCCGAGAACAAGCGCGCCGCCGAGGCCGGTCTCATCAACAAGAGCCTCCTCACGCTGGGCCGCGTCATCAACGCCCTCGTCGACCGCAGCCAGCACATCCCCTACCGCGAGTCCAAGCTGACGCGCCTGCTGCAGGACTCGCTCGGCGGCCGCACCAAGACGTGCATCATCGCCACCGTCTCCCCGGCCAAGAGCAACCTCGAGGAGACCATCTCCACGCTCGACTACGCGTTCCGCGCCAAGAACATCCGCAACAAGCCCCAGGTCAACCCGCTGCTGAACAAGAAGAAGCTGCTGCGCGAGTTCCAGACCGAGATTGAGAAGCTCAAGAGCGAGCTCATCACGACGCGCCAGCGCAACGGCGTCTACCTCTCCAACGCGTCGTACGAGGAGATGACCGCCCAGAGCGAGTCTCGACGCATCGTGCTCGAGGAGCAGGCGGCCAAGATGGAGACGCTCGAGATGAACCTCAAGAACAAGGTCCACGAGCTGCTGTCGCTGACCTCCAACTTTATGGGGCTCAAGAAGGACCACGACGGCACCAAGGCCCAGCTCGACGACACGAGGGACGTGCTCGACCAGACGGAGCTCGTGCTCGACGCCACGCGCAGGTCGCTCGCCGACGAGACGCACCTGCGCAAGGCGCACCAGGAGACCGAAGGGCAAACTCACCGAGGTCGGCGGGCGGCTCATCTCGACGCTCCACAAGACGGTCGGCGACGTCGACCGCCTGCGCGCCAAGAACAAGCGCAAGTCGGGACCTGCAGTCGATCAACCCGCGGCGCCTGGGGCATGGCGCAGGGCCACGTCGTCGACATCACCTCGCTCGTGGAGCAGCCATGGGCTCTTGCGCGACGAGAGCAGGAGCACGTCGCGGGCATCTCCGAGAGGTGAAGGCCTTTGTGGCTGACGAGCTGGAGAAGCTGACCTCGACCGAAAGCTTCCTCGAGGGCCACCTGCAGGAGTTTGTCGAGTCGCTTTAAAGAGCTGCTCGCCGAGCAGAAGGGATCCAAAGAAGAGATGGACAACGTGCTCGAGGAGATCAAGACGGTGCGTGATACTGTCAAGGACCAAGTGGGCGAGAGTCTGCAGTCTATCGCCGCGGCGGCGGAGAAGATTGCTGCCGACGTGCTCAGCGAGCTCGGCACCTTCCACAACCAGGTATGTTCTCCTACACCAGACATGGTATCTCTCGAGGTGGCTGCTAACGTGTCGACCCAGCTGCACACATCGTACAGGTCTCTGGGCAAAGACTTCAAGACCATCTTCGACGACCTTGTCACGCACATCGCCGCCCAGCGCGCCGAGTCCCTGAAGCTGCGGCAGCAACTCGAAAAGGCGACACGGACCATCGCCGAGCAAAACGCCGCCAACGCCAACCGCATGCAGGAGGTCATGGAAGGGGAGCGCAAACAGGCGGCCGTCGACCGAAGGGACCTGCTCACGCAGATCACGTCCCTGATCAACGCGCAGGCAGAGGTGCAAGAGTCGCGACTCGCCGACAAGACGGCCGAGCTGCAGAGGAGCATCCTCGCGTCCAACACTACGCTTGAGAAGGATGTTGCTGCCTACGGAGAGGGTATGGACGCGTGGAATAGCAAGGAAGACGAGCTCCTGGAGACGGTCGCCAACTCGAAGGAAGCCATGAAGACGAAGCTGAAGGAGTACTGGAACGTGCGTACCAGAGACTCGGCCCAAAGGAACAGAAACAGCGCTGACATCATTGATAGGCCGCCGAAGAACACAGTTCATCCATCCAGGGCACCACCAAGTCGGTCAACGCCGAGACGATGCGCGTGGTGGACGAGCAGCTCGAGAACCTTGACGTGCAGATGAAAGCCCTGGACGACTTCGTTACCCACGCCCGCGACGAGAATGCCTCCCACCACGAGAAGCATGCAGAGTCTGTGCAGAAGCTCTCCGAGACTGTCGGACAGTCATTCGAAGAGATCGCATCGCACTGCGCGACTACGTTCGACCGCGTCCAGGACCTGGGAAGCAAGCTGGCAACGCAGACAGAGGAGGCTAGACAAGGTCTCGCACCCATCGGGGACGACATCTGCCAGCCCCTGGCTGCGCTGCGGGACGAGATATCGTCCACGGTCATCCAGGAATACCAACCTACCGGCGACACCCCTATGAAGATGCACTACCAATTCCCGACCGATCTGCCCAAGACCAAGGCGCACGAGAAGCTTCTCAACGACCTGCACGGCGTTTCCGCCTCGCCCAGCAAGTCCAGCACCATCCCTACCGTCTTCGCCGACGATGATGACGAGCCCGACCTCCTGGCTTCGTCGCCACGCCAGACGCGGGCCTCGACGATGCCGTCCATCTCGGAGCACGCCCCGACGAACCACACCTTCCCGTTCAGCATGAGCCTCCGCGAGGTGAACCCTAACCTGACGCAAACCAACCTGACGACGGCGGGCTCGTTGCTGTTCGACCCGGCGGCCGGGGCTGCCGCCATGAAGGAGGCAGCCGCCGCCGCCGCCGCCGACGGTGGCGACGCCGCGACTGGGCTTCTGCCCTTCAAGTACAGCACGTCGCGGCAGCAGAGCAAGATTGGCCGCAAGACGGTCGCGGGACCGCTCGAGGGGCGGGAGAACGTGCCGCTGCCCGTCGCGGCGTTCTCGCAGAGCCTCGGCCCGAGGAGGAAGAGTCCGAGATTGAACTGAGCGTCTTTTCCGCCCTGAATTTTCTGTCGAGACAGCGAGGCGTTTTGGGGCGTCTGGTTATGCGTGATCTGCGTGTGGACTACTCTATGGAGCTGCATGTGCTTCGTGCTGGAGGGGTCCGGGTCTGATTCACGGTCGAGGCACGATAGGACGCGAGGGTCTGTACTCTGTCGCTGGGTCGTGTCGTGGTGTAGGTTGTTACTGTACGCTTGATACCCTTCTTGTTCCATCGTTGGCTTTGTGGTATAATTCACTTTCATTTGATCGATTCCGTTGAACTTTGCCTATGTGCTGCCACTTGACCGGCGATCGTCACATGCATGATCAGATGAAGATGTCACGTCATTGTGATGACGGGTACGCCTCTCTTGGTATGCTTCTGAAGCGGCGGTTGGGGAGAATCGCATCACACCAAGGTCGTTGGACGGAACGGCCTGACGATGAGGGATGATCGACGCCCAGGCTTACGACCCTCTGGGAGCAGCGTGTCAACGGCGCCCTTGGACGTCATCGTACACACGACATGCGACACACATCCACACGCGCGGCCTTGATGGGTAGCCTTTCATGTTGATAAGAGAAGCTCTCTGCCCATGGCGCGAAACTTGTAGTTGATAGCAACTGAACGACATCTGTTCTCCAAACGCATGTCAACCCCTTCATACACGGCGACCGCCAAAATGCCAGCGCACCCCGACCTCACGTCATTCAAAGCCCTGTCCTTCGACAACTACGGCACGCTCGTGGATTACGAGTCCAGCCTCCGTCACCACCTAGCGCCCCTCCACGCTGCTTTGCCCCCCTGCCACGACCTCAAAGACATGGTCGCCCTGATGCGGCGCTTCCACGCCGCCTCCGACGCCCTCGAGCACGACGAACCCGCGCTGCTCGCCGACGAGCTCCTGGCCCGCACCTTCCGCCAGCTCGCCGCCGACCTCGACGTCGCCAGCCAGCTGACAGAGGCCGACTTTGCGGCGTGGCGCGACATGGCCGGCGCCAGCGTGCCGTTCGGCGACACGGTCGCCGGCCTGCAGAAGCTCAAGCGCCGGTACAAGCTCTTCATCCTGAGCAACGTCGACGAGCGCAACATGGCCGCGTCGGTCGGCGCCATGCGGCCCGTCGCGTTTGACGGCGTCTACACGGCTGAGCGGATCGGGAGCTACAAGCCTGCGCACGCCAACTTTCGGTACCTGTTTGAGCGGGTGGGGCGGGAGCACGGCGTCGGGTTGGAGAAGGGGAAGCTGCTGCATGTTGCGAGGAGCCTCAGGGCGGACCATGTGCCGGCGAAGCAACTCGGGTTGCGAAGTGTCTGGATCGCGCGGGGCGGGGATACGAAGGAGGGGCAGGGCATCGGAGGGGATCCGGAAGGGTTGAAGGACGACGTCGCTTTTGAGTGGAAGTTTCAGACCATTGGCGAATTTGCGGATGAGGTTGAGAGGCAGTTTGCTGCCAAGGGAGAATGATCTTCCCGGCTCGAACGATAAGTTGGAAAGCGAGAGCCAAGTTCCTACCATCTCCTGTGTCGATCGTCGTGATGAGGGTCGCTCGTCCACCATGAAACTCGCCGTATCTAGCCGTCAGCATGGTCTTTCGTCCCCCTATTCCGTTGACCTTTCTCTCGCCCTCCCTTTGATAGCCATCCCTGTCGAATCTTGATCGGCCTCAGGAACCCATCGACATGCACGGCACCGTCCATCTCCTCGTCGCTGCCCTGGTTGCCTGCCGAGGGCATTTGCATCGCGGGCGTCTGTTCCGTGCCCTTGCCCTTGCCTTGGGAGTCACGGCGAATTCTGGCTCGCTTCAAGCAGGCGAGCTCCGGGCTTATGCACATGACGCAATGTGTGCGGTGAGGGTTCTTTTCTCGCCTTGAAGCTCCGACATGGTATTTGCCCGTCCGTGATAGAACAAGAAGAATGCCCCCCTTTGGCGCCGCCGGTTGGCCGGGGATCAGCTTGAAGGCCTCCTCCCAGTCCTGGCCAAACCCCTTCGTGTGCCGTTTGCAGTGCGTTATGGGGCAGTAGAACAGGCCATCGGGCGATGCCTGCACAGCGTTGAGGTCGATCTCGAGCTTGGGTCGCACTGGCAACTCGACACCGCTGGAATCGTTGTCTTCGTCCGTGGGGCCGTTGCGTGATCTGCTCCTGGGCGCATCGCCATCGTCATCATCGTCAGAGTCTTGTGTGTCTGCACCTGCCGGCGCTCTCCCGGCGCGCCTCTCCCTCGCTCTTCGGAGCTGTATAGCTTCGTATCTGAGTCTTCGCCTTGTCTCCTCGAGGTGTCTCTCCTCGTCTTCCTCCCCATCATCTTGGGCTGCCGGCAGCGGCTTACCCGGGTAACATGTCGTCGTTAAATACCCTTCCTGTCCCTCAGAAACCGTGTGGAGCTCCATGCTCTGCCCAAAGAGATCTGCGCATCGTTGTGCCGCGCGTGCCACGACATCAGCATCGAACCCAGCCAGCGCGGCAGCTCCAAGCACGTCCCGCCAGTCGCGCAGACCCCACCTGTTGAGTCGACTGTCACGCCACATTCGATACGCACGAGACGTATCTGAGTCGCTATCACGAGACGATGCCGAGACGCCACGCTTCGATGGCCGTCTCTTGCGCGGGGCAATGGGTCTGCCACGGGGCGTCTTCTCCGAGGCTGATTCGTCATCTGCATCATCTTCCTCGGATGAGGAGGATGTCGATGAGGCTGGTGCCGGGCGTTTCTTGGCGTATCTGGCATTTGCTACTCGCTTTTGAGATATCGCGACTTCTGTTTCGGCGTCCGAGATGACGGAGGACCTGTCGCTAGCAGAATCGTCCGTCTGATCTCGGGCCACGACGCCAGCCATGCGCGCATTGTGCAGGGTCGTCAGGGTCGCGTCGAGCTTCGTGAGGATATGCCTTGCAGAGGGGCGGAGGAGTTCGTAGGAGAGGTCGTCATCTGCCGACACGACGGGCGCGTACTGCTTGCTGGCCTTGGTGGTCCGCGCCGGGACTTCATCCTCCGGTGGTTGCTGGTGCTGCTCCGCCTCGTCTTGCACGCTGTGCTCGTCTCCGTCCTGTGACTCGTCGCTGTCCTCGCTCTCGGCCTCTTCCCCTTCGGATGTGCCCTTCGTCAGAGGCTCGCCGTCCGCGTCATCAAAATGCGCATCCTCAGATTCCTCAGCAGAGTCCTCGTCAGAGTGCCGCCCAGCTTCCGACGGCTCATCGCCTTGCCCAAACTTCCGCTCGCGGAACCTCTCCTTGGCAATCCGCAGCATCGACGCAGACACCTCCTCCTCCAAGTCCTTCCCCGGCCTCCACTCATCCTTCCTCCTCAGCGTAAACGCATCGTGCGCGTCACGCGTCTCCCGCAACAGCTTCTCCCTCGGCAGAGCCTCGACAGGCAACGGCCATGCCGTCCACGCCTGCGGCGGGCGCCAGTCGCCGAGACCCATGCCCTCAGGCAGCGCGTCCTGGGAGCCCTATGCATGTCAGCGAGCTCTTCCTCTCCTGGCATGCAGCCCTTCTCCGAATGGGACGAGTGCGGGGGCGAGGGCGGCATGCATACTTGGGGCGGATTCCGCAGCATGGCGGCATTGAAGAGGTGGAGGGCGAGATCTTGGTCGCGCACCTGCTCCATGTTCTGGTGCAGCAGGCGCTCTTCCTCGGTCATGTGCCGCCATGTCGAGAGGGGGCCGCGCCAGCGGTTGGGGCGCGTCTCGTAGAGTTCGTCAGAGGCGGTGGACCGGATCTCGTCCGTGTCGAGGTCCCAGTCGTCATCTGGTACGACGGCCATCGTGGTTGCTTGACGTTGGTGTGAGGTTGGTGGTTGCAGCTCGGTGAGGGAGGGACGAAAGTGAAGGTTGAGTCTGAAGTGGGGCACTTGGTTTTCGGTGTGTTGAGGTGAGGGAAGAGGCAAGGACAAGGTGAGCAGGCCAGACCTTCAACAAGGTAATTCTATCGATATTTTCCTGACCCATCGCACACACTCGGTACGCTTCATGGCACATCAAAACACTGAACATGGGCATCAAAAGTGGAAAGAATAACGCCTGGTATTAAACGCCCAACGTCTACCTAAGAAAAAAGACTAAGCCCGCTTGCCTGCCTCCTTCTCGTGCTTTCTCCTCTTGGCCCGCAGCTTCTCAGCCTCGGCGCTCTTCTTGTTGTTGGTGTACATCATCTGCTCGTACAGCTTGCGCTTCTTCTTGGGCAGCATGCCCTTGGCCCGCTCGTGCTCCTCCTCCTCCTCGGCTGCCCTCTTCGCCAGCGCCTTGCGCGCCGCGTCCTTCTTCGCCTTGGCCGCCGACGTCGTCTTGGCCTTGACGCCGGCGCCCGTCAGCTCGGCCTCGAGCTCCAGCTGCCGCTGCGCCGCGTCGTCGTCGTCCTCCTCGTCGTGCTCGGCCTCGTCGTCGTCGAAGCCGCCAAACGAGTCGTCGCCCGCGGCGGCGTCCGAGTCCTCCTCCGACCCGGCAACGTCCATGTCGGGCGCCTCGAGGGCCATGGCCTCGAGCTGCTCGTCGTCCATCTCCTCGTCGCTGTCGGCAAGAACCTCGCCCTCGGTCTCCTGCTCCTCGAGCGGCACCGTCGGGTCGTACTGGCCCTGCACGGCGCGCACAAAGGGGCTCAGATGCGGCGGCAGCTGCGCGCCGGGCGCGTACAGATCCGGCCGCTTGAGCTCGGCGTCGTTGGCGCTGTCCCACACCCCACTGCGGCTGGACGTAGACCCTGCCGGGATGCGCTGGTTGGGGCCCAGCTTCTGCGCCGTCTGGTTGTCCTCGGCCTGCTCCTCGACGGGCACACCGGCGATGATGGGGCGGTCCACAATCTGGTGCGTGATCGAGGGGTCGTGCTCGTCGGTGGTGTAGGCGCCCTCGCCCAGGACCGAGTCCCAGCCGATGCGCTTGCAGCCGAACGCGCGCAGGATGAACTCGAGGGGGCCGCGCGGGGTCTCCCTCGACAGGTAGAAGGTGCAGTGGGCGAAGAGCTTGCCGACGTCCGAGCTGGAGTAGCTGGGCTGCGGGAGAATGTCACCACCGGGGGCGGCGGGCTCGAACTTGTCGATGGCGTTGGTATCAGCGGCTTCCGAGTTGTCGCTCGAGGCCTCGTCCGTGACATCGGCGGCACCCTTGAGCTTCTTGACGACCTTGTTGACGGCCGCCTGGGTCTCGGGGTCGGGGTGGTGCTCGGTCGTCTCGCCTTCCGCGATCTGCCCCTGCTGTTGCTGCTGGGGTTGTTCCTCGTCGTCG